GATATCCATACTGTTTCTGGCCAAAACCATGAGCAATTTTTTTTGATCACATCTCTTTCATTAGAGAGAGCCTTTTGTAACATTTTGGGTGCTCAGAAAGGGAATTCATCATTTGAACATATTTTCAATCCATGTTGGGGATCTGTAGTACTCTTGGGAAGTCACCTATGAATAGGCTGAAAAAGAATGTTAGGGATGTTTTTAAACATAGCTACTGCGCTGCCTCCAGGGGATTGCCAAGCCAAGAAGCCACAACGATATCCATACTGTTTCTGGCCAAAACCATGAGCAATTTTTTTTGATCACATCTCTTTCATTAGAGAGAGCCTTTTGTAACATTTTGGGTGCTCAGAAAGGGAATTCATCATTTGAACATATGTTCAATCCATGTTGGGGATCTGTAGTACTCTTGGGAAGTCACCTATGAATAGGTTGAAAAAGAATGTTAGGGATTATTTTAAACATGGCTACTGAGCTGCCTCCAGGGGATTGCCAAGCCAAGAAGCCACAACGATATCCATACTGTTTCCGACCAAAACCATGATCAATTTTTTTGGTTACATCTCTTTCATTAGAGAGAGCCTTTTGTAACATTTTGGGTGCTCAGAAAGGGAATGCATCATTTGAACATATTTTCAACCCATGTTAGGGATCTGGAGTCTATTGGGAAGTCACCTGTGAATAGGTTGAAAAAAAAAATTAGGGATGTTTTTTAAACATGGCTACTGAGCTGCCTCCAGGGCATAGCCAAGCCAAGGAACCACAAGGATATCCATACTGTTTCCGACCAAAACCATGACCAATTTTCAAAGGTTACATCTCTTCCATTAGAGAGAGCATTTTGTAACATTTTGGATGTTCAGAAAGGGAACGCATCATTTGAACATATTTTCAATCCATGTTGGGGATCTGTAGTACTCTTGGGAAGTCACCTATGAATAGGTTGAAAAAGAATGTTAGGGATGATTTTAAACATGGCTACTGAGCTGCCTCCAGGGGATTGCCAAGCCAAGAAGCCACAACGATATCCATACTGTTTCCGACCAAAACCATGATCAATTTTTTTGGTTACATCTCTTTCATTAGAGAGAGCCTTTTGTAACATTTTGGGTGCTCAGAAAGGGAATGCATCATTTGAACATATTTTCAACCCATGTTAGGGATCTGGAGTCTATTGGGAAGTCACCTGTGAATAGGTTGAAAAAAAAAATTAGGGATGTTTTTTAAACATGGCTACTGAGCTGCCTCCAGGGCATAGCCAAGCCAAGGAACCACAAGGATATCCATACTGTTTCCGACCAAAACCATGACCAATTTTCAAAGGTTACATCTCTTCCATTAGAGAGAGCATTTTGTAACGTTTTGGATGTTCAGAAAGGGAGCGCATCATTTGAACATATTTGGAATCCATGTTGGGGATCTGTAGTACTCTTAGGAAGTCACCCATGAATAGGAGTTGTTTGCCCCCAGGGGATTGCAAAGCCAAGGAACAGGATCGCTATCATAAAGGTCCAAGCTGTCTTGTTCAGCTGGCATGTGCACAAGAAAGCGCTTTTGGTCCTCACACCTTTCCCAACCTGATAGCGTGTCCAGTTCCTCCAAGATTTCGCAAGGGAGTATTCTTTTCCAGTTCGCCCTGTGCCCCTGCTCTCTCACGAAACTAGAGTTTTGACCAAAGACGTGGATGAGTGAGGCATAGTCTTCAAGTTCCTTCTTCACTTTGACTGGGTGCATAGCAGGGATGATGTTGTCTCGCACATCGGGTACGGAATCTTGGGAATTGTTTAGCCACGACTCCTGCTGTGGAAATGTGTGAATTTAATCTGCCAACAAGCAGTTAACATAGCTATGGCCCCGGTTCCATAGTTGTTAAAACAACATGAGAAACAATGTGTTCTGTCCTCACAAATGTAAGAGAAGTGTTCGGCCCCATTCCCAGATCCATCAAAAGACATGTGGGACCATATCCACACCGGAACACGCTGCTCTCCGCCCTCAACGCCCAAGTCGGGCACCACTGTTGTCGGTACCATCCCTGGTTGTGGAGGAGTAGGCCCAGTCACGATGCAAAGCCGAACTTCGAGAGCAGAGCACACCCATTCCTCAGATGTGGCTGCAGGCTTCTGGACATTATCTTGTATTATATTGTTTATAGCAACTGTCTATATACATATAATAAGGTGCTGTCACTATGGCTACGTTAATTGTCCGATATCCTCATCCGAACCTCCTCAACTACTGTCTGGTTTTAAACATAGTCCTTGACAGCAGGCGTTGTTTCATCGATCAATTACCCACAAACAGACCATGGCGAGCCTGGGAAAGCTACGTTAAAAGACAAAATGTCTTTTTATTGTTGACTGAACAAAAGACAAAAATCTACACTTCGTTCCTTTTCAATGCCAAGTGCAGGAAATCCTGAGGCTGGCTGTCCTGGGATCTAGTACGGTAAGGCTACGAAAACAGAAGGAATGCTTGTTGCAATCCTCCTCCGGTCACTTCTCGCTAACATGGACCCTGCGGGCATTCTCAGAACAACTCAAACCAAAACAATCTAAAACATCAAATCTACAAGTGATACTTTTCAACTACAATGATGTTTGCCTCAGAGTCACCATGTCAGCGCGTAAAGCAATAACCCTCAAGCTCTACTGGACCTATTACGCTAGAAGTATCTCACTAAACATAGCTTTTAACTCAGTCGTCACGATTGATCACAGCCCATGTCTCATCGGTAATGGGTGGAAGTCTACGCAAACGAGGACGCCTCAGAGGAGAAGCGACAACTTCCCAGCCAAAGTAGTCCATCAACGGACGAGGTCCTGCGGCAGCATCACCATCTGGCACTGTTGGCAAAGATGATTCGGTCGTCACATCTGTGACACTTGGCTGCTCTCTCCGCTCTGGATCAAATCTCTCATCCATTCGTGGCACTACGGACACTGGCTCTGCATGATCACCATCAGCTAAGCTAATGGAAGGGTCCCCGGCAGCTTCGGAATTCACTGACATTGGGACGGAACTTGGATCATGAGTTCGGACGGCCTTCGATTCCAGGGTCGTAGACGACTGCTCAGGGAAGGCATCGGTAGATGACCTCTTCATTCTTGATTGGAAGAGTCTAGTCTAGCTCTTTAAGGAGTTCTAAGTCACTACCTTGATTGCTGTGCCGCTTGAGCCTTCACAACTGTTGTATGTACATCGGAAGCTGTCTAACGTAGCTCTGGGACCTGTGTGCATAGCTACCTGACTGTTCTCGAGGGTTACAGGTACATTAAGGTCGTTGAACTCATTGATTCATGTTGTTTTTAGAACACCTATCTGATCAGAGGCATGCCAGGATAGCCATGTTAAGGTCCTGTGGAGTTTATGATCCACCTGACTGCATGCAAGTCCCTCCCTGATGTGCAAACAAGACTCCAAATCTTCATGTTCTGCAGAGACCTTGCCCCTCACCCTGCGTCGTGTTTCCGCAGGCATTGCGCATTTGAGGCCAGAGATACCAAGCATTCTCGGGATGTCAAGGGCCCAAATCTTAATCACCTCTGACTCCTCCTTGCTCTCTGCGGAGAAGCCGGTTTGGTTTCTCTGCTTTGAAGACCATGCCTCAGTGCTTACCCGCCAATACTTTAACGTAGACATGGAGACCCCTTTTCTTCTCAAGGAAAACTGATTTGCAGACTCTCCAAAATCAATTTTATTCAAAACACATCTACAGTACCTTGGTAATTTTAGATACTTGCGGTTTTTGAATATTGACCCATGCCACATAGCTACGTTAACAAGCTACGGTTTTAATATCCCCCTAAATTACAAAATTTATTATTATACGACTGGACCCAGTACTGGGCAAGTTGCATACAGCTGTGCGGGCGTGCAGCACGCAAGATACAAGCATGACCACATGCAGAGGCCATCTGATGGAACTTGGACCACCGTTGTGTGATCGCTCAGAGATGGCACCGGACTCTCGATGAACTCAATTGTTGCCAAAGCAGACAGAAGAACCATTGCCTGAGCTGCCATCCCTCTCCTCACTTAAAATCTATTAAGCAGGGCCTAAGGCATTCTTGGAATTGGGACGAACTACTCCTTAATCAAATTAACATAGCTACTTGTACATGGAGGATAGCTACGTTACTCTAATTCATGCCAAATCTTTTCCCCCAATAGGCCGACCCCCACCAAAACTGAGATTCACTCTGTGGCAAATGCTGGGTGCTTCCGCATCTCTCATGGAGATTTGGCCATTTCTCCCACTCCATGCGTTCCTTGGGTTCACAAACAGTTTTGAAATCCTAGACAAGTTCTGTTAGTTTACAACTTTCCTTACATGGGTACCCTGCAGCATTGGTCAATACAAAGTCGCTTCCCCATCAAGGATGAATTTGATGGATGGGTGGTGGATAGGAGTTACCCTCTGGTTATTTAACATAGCCATGGAAAATGGCCCATTTATAGATGGTTTACCTATTTAAAAAAAAATGTGATTTTCCATGGCTATGTTAAATAACCAGATGGTACCCATGCCATGCCAAGTACGCTAAACATAGCTATCGGGCCCTGGTTCTATGTCATGCTAACAAAGGTTAGCCAAGCGTATTTGGGATAGTGTACAGTAGATGATCATATTGTCTCATTTATATACATGACAAGATTCAATGTTGTACTTCTTTGCGATGTCATCTGTGGCAGCAAAGCCAAGGGATGCCAGCTTTTCAACCCCAAGCAGCCAGCGCTTTCTTGATCTTGACCAAATGGTATCCACAGTGGTGTAGGTGGGAAGAGTTCTGGCCGGAAGTCACTTTAACATAGCCGTCCCCCATTCTGCAACTGATAGTAAAGTAACCATGCTACACATTCAAAATCAACAGGATCAAGTTTGCTCCGTGCATTTTGCATTCACAGACTGTGTTTAGGTAGAGTAGGTAAGAGGAGGATGCCCGAAATTGTTCCGAAACTTTTCAATGAATTGCCATCTCTACAGTGGGTTTGTTTTCTCAAAGAAATTCAGTCCTGGTCTTGCTCGTTCCCTTCATCCGTTCCAGATTCTGCTCCGGCACAGCGCAATGCAGTTCCGGGATAGCTCGGAGATCCTCGTCCTGCAAGGAAGGTTCCGAACAATCCCATATCCTTGGGTACTTAAACATAGCTATGCACTTTGTGTGAATGGATACGATTTACGATTCCATGAGTGATCCAGTGGCCGTAGCTATGTTGAATGACTAACAGGAAGTATTCAACATAGATCTTGTACGTTCATCATGTCTCATCAAAAGAAGCATGAAGTTGATCCTTTACCGTATCTTTCCAAATATTCTGTTGGCAATGTTTAGAGTCCTTGTCCATCTTGTCCCAAGCTTGTTGCAGTCGATTCAAGTCACCCATGCTCAGCATTCCCCTGAGTCAGCAGAAGGCTGACATGCTACAGTATGTGAAAAGACTTAAACATAGCTATTTGGTGCATACAACCTCTACAAGAACTACAAAATTCAATATTCACTACCACATATATGTCTCATAGTGGCCAAAAAGTAGGCAAGAAACTCGAATGTGTCTGACAGTGGTCGGTTCTTGGTCACGCGTTCTTTGCGCTCTGCCTCCAACCTGAGCAACTGCGCAGCTGGAACATGCCTGGGGACAGGTCATGATGTAGAATGAGTAGCTATGTTTACGTGCCTGTGGATATGTCATTGAACCCAAAATTATTGGGACACAGAATTCCATATTTCTTTTAAACTAAAATCACCAAGGGCCAACTTTTGAACTTTTTTGGTTGTGGGTCCGCGCGCTATTCCGATAGGTCTTGGTTGGGTAAGTAAATACCAACCCCAATAGCTATGTTTTTTGGAAATTACACAAAGCATCAAGTTGACAACAAAGGACGTTGCTTCATCCTTGCAGAAAAACAGGTCATTGATGGTTGTTTGCCTTTTGTTGACCACCTCCCGCATTTTCATATACACATTGTTCGGCTCATCGAGAAATCTCCCAGCGCTTTTTCTCAGAGCAATTATCCTCAGTGTGACCATTAAAAATGATTTGCAAAAAGAACTGTTGGGGTTCCATAGCTATGTTAGTGGGTATCAAGGGTATGTATTTCCCAGTGTTTACCAGAGAATAGTATATTGAACCGCCACAGTGAAAAGATCTTACCGTAAAGTGTTGGTCAACTGCTATTGATCGCCAAATCTCCAACCACGGTAACGTTTCTGGGCACCATAGCCAGAATCTTCTGTCGCTGCATGTATGAGCTGAATATGGAAAGCATCTTGTAGTTCTCGACATTGAAGCTCTTGAATTGTGCCTCCACACACGTTCTCCAGCACCAAAACGCGGGTGCCAGCGAACGCATGCCACCTAAATGGCCAGTGCTGTTTGGATAAAAAGATCTACTGTACCAGTACTATCATCTGGCTATTAACGCAGGTATGGAAATTCACAATGTTAAATAAGTAAATGTTAGTAAATAATCATCCATCTTGCGTATGCACAAAAAATATACATATACATGGGTCAGGTGCCATAGCTATGCTAAAAGACAAATTAAATGAGCAGCAATTATACTGCTGCAAATGAATGTCAACACATCAATACTCTCTATTGTTTGTAGAGCTCAGCAACTCTCGAAAACAAATCGCTCAAGTAAATAGGAAGATATAATGGACAGGGTCTGGCCTGAAATGCACCAGACCGGCTCTTCGACCCGGACCCAAATCTCGCTTCTGCGCGCCCATGTTGCTGTCATCTTTGCAACTCAAGGCACTCATATCCTTACCCAGAAGCAGGGTCGGGTTTCAAAGGACTGTTGGTACCCCTTCACCTAGCCATCACACAGTGCTTTTTTAATATGCTCGATATATTTAGGGGAGGAGGGGTTTCGGTTTTTGTATGTTGGCAGAATCCAAAATTCAATTGAAACAAGAAACCAAATCCATATTCTTCGGGAGGATGCAGCCAGTTTGTAGCTCGTTGCTGCCTGACTGGTGACGAAGACACAAGGCACGTGCCTGGAATTTCGCGCTAGACAAAACTTTCCGGATCGCATCCACACCTGTGCGCAATGAATGCCACCGTGTCAGTAAACATGAATAGTTTTGAAACATTGACAGTATGTGGAAAAAGCTCATTAACATAGACCTTATACTTCTGTTGTGGGTAGAAAACAAACCAACTCCAGTAAGCAAACCCATCAACAAAAAAAATGCCTATTGGGAACTTGCAGGCTTTGATAACCCGAAACTGGTCTTTAACATAGCTATGCTACTGGTTACATCGACAGCTGTTCCTTCATTTGAAAACAAAACAAACAGGAAATGGATTCTGTGCTTTGCATTGTGCGGTATGTTGTAAGACAAAACCTTTTAACATAGCCTTCCTCAAGTGGTTTGAAGCTATACTGCAAAAAAAAAACATAGTGATCTTCCATGCTTGTGCAAAAATATTGAAGAGGTAATATTGTTGAAACAACAATTTTTCCTCTTAAAGTAGTTTGAACCGGGGGCCTTGAGACTCCTCCAACTCCTTCCTGCTCTTGGCATCAACTTGATTCAGCACATCACTGAATACGCAAGTGTTCTCAAAGAAGCTGTCGTTCAGCAACCCTTGCTGCACCGCTCTGTCGCTGTCACACACGCTCACCTTAGCTGCAAGAGAGGGAAATATATTCTGGTAATTTGATTTTGTCATCTTCTGTACATACAGTACAATCTCTATACATAAACCAGTGGTCCATGGCTATGTTAAGGCTGCGTAGTGATGGCAACTTTCATGCATGCCTATTGGTTTGAAAGGAAGACCATGTAACATACTTACAATTCTTACAAAGGATGGGGTACTTCCCAGGAACATGATCACCTCTAACACTGGTGTGTGACCTACAGTAATTTGTTTACTATTTTACTCATGGGTTGCTAAGAAAGACTTTGTAGGATGGCTCACACCCAATCATGCTGCATTACAGTCACCTGGTGGAACCTGACCGTTGATCCCATCTTCTGGATGATGTTTGCGGCCCGTCCGCAAGCGTCCAGCCTGAGTTTGTGTTGCGACATGCCAAGAGTAAAGAGAAACTACTTAATTACCCTCTGGTTACTTAACATAGCCATGGAAAATGGCCCATTTATAGATGGTTTACCTATTAAAAATGGTGATTTTCCATGGCTATGTTAAATAACCAGAAGGTATATGTTTTTGTGGTTTAACATAGCTACTGCAAGCCACTCCATATTCGAAAATAGTTGCTATTGCATTCTCAAACAAAGTAACCCTGTGAAACTCGAACTGCAATGCAGAACTCTATCACAGAGAAGAAGAGGGTTCCCGCTCAAGGAGTGAGCATGTTGCCTTGCAACATCGAGGGCCTTGGAGGCCCATGAAGCAGCCTCAACTAGAGACTGCTGGACAGACTCGTCGCAAGTCATTGGTTTTCTGTTCGCTGGCCAACCACATATGTAGGGCTGACCAGTCTCAAGTCTTTTGATCCCGCCCCTCCGGTCCTCCGCCCCGCTCTCATCCTGAGCTAGTCCAGGAAGGGGCGCTGAACTTCTATTACTATTTAACATAGTAGTCGGAATTGAGCAAATTAAGACCCCACGGCTACGTTTGTTATAAGCGCAACGGCCAACGGCTAAGTTTTCTTGAACGTCCAACGGCTAAGTTTTCATTGTTTCTCCTAACGGCTATGTTAAAGAGCTTTTTCAGTTCTGAAGCTGAAAGTGAACGTTCCAAAAAAAAATCATGTCTGTTTTCTCGTGAACTTTAACAAGGCAATGCCTAGCTGTCCATAGCTATGTTTAGTATGATGCCTGGGTTAAACTCTTGGGACATGAACTGCACTGTTTCCTATATATTTTCTTCCAAACTACCATGCATAAGGAGCTGCAGACAAGGCTCTTTGAAGCGTTCAGGAGGTGACTTTCCATTCACCCGCCGCTCAGGGACTGAGAGCATTGGCTTTTTGGTCTCTCGTGGGCTGTCTAGGTTTGGATCACCACACAGCTGCAAAGGATCGGGCAAGATCCAAAACGATTGCCACTAGAAAATCCCACTTAATTAAACATCATAGCTATTGGTTGAACCATTTTATAGCATCGTTGCAAAGTGAATTAAACATAGCTATACATATAAAACATTCCCGCTTAATTAACATAGCCGTTGGTTGAACAATTTTCATAACATCGTGCAAAGTGCAATGAACATCGTGCAAAAAACGCTCTTTAACGTAGCCGTTGGGAGAAACAGTGAAAATTTAGCGTTCGGACGTTCAAAAAACCTTAGCCGTTGGCCGTTGAATTTATAATAAACGTAGCCGTCGGATCAAAATTTGCTCAATTCCGACGTCTACGTTAAATAGTGGGAGTGTACATCCAATGAAAATAACGGAGAGTTTCTTTCTATCAAAAATGCTGCATGTCCCGGTATGTAGCAGGGCCCCAGTTTGAAGAATCGCAGGTGAGGCCCTTGTTTGGTGCCGGCTAGATTTCGATAATCTACCAGGTGGTACCCTCCCAGTTATGAATAGGGTTTATAAACCATAGCCACCATAGTTTGATATCTATACTATAAACCCAAGAGTTGTTGGACTTACCATCTGGTTATTTAACATAGCCATGGAAAATCACCATTTTTAATAGGTAAACCATCTATAAATGGGTCATTTCCCATGGCTATGTTAAATAACCAGATGGTATGTTGAATTAAATCTCATGCTTTACCAGGTGCAGAAGCTCCGACTTTCAGCGAGGCCTCAGCAAAAATCTCATCGAAAAAACGCTGCAAGGCCTGCACTGGACCCAAACCTGAGCGGTGGGGCCCACAGCTTGGAGGATCACCTGCCAAATGATGGGGCTTTGTTCTTTTGTAATGAGAAAACAGAACATATCTAGTTGAGGTGACCCTTTCGTAGATTGAATGATCTTACATGATACAATACTCCGATCATCCCATTTGGTAACTGGTTCATATACCCTTTGCATGAGCCACTTACAGATGTGATAACATGTGATAACCCCACATACGCAACTCAACCCGCGTGATCCGGCAGGGGCCATCGGAACAATCCGTTTGGTTGGATCAAGTCGCTAGGAAAGATTGGCCCTGTTTCTCATCAATGATGAACACAACCAAAGTTTTCCTGGGCATCACGAAACCTAGCATTTTCATCACCAAGGTCGGCCCTGGCTAGGCTAACATCCCCTGGCCCTAGCGCACCTTGCTTTTGCATCCACTTCCGGATATGCGGCATGGTAGTCCAGCAGCGATAGTCCACCTGAAATGAAGGACATGGCTTGCAGCAAGTGGGATATCATCGAATCAGTCATTTGGGCACCGGGTATAGCCAATTTTCGAGCAAACCCACATGGTGGTTTCCTAAAATAGTCTTACCCCTAAATCATCCAAGTCAGAAACGACCATTTTAGTATTGGCACCTATGGTGCCCCATGGCTTAAGAAACCTACAGTGGCACCGCTGGCGGCTTTACTGGCCTCGTCCCCTCCGATGTGTAGGAACTCATCGGGAAAGAGGCCCGCAACCTCTTGGAGGATCGTCTTGGCCACCTGGAGAATCGTTTTCCTATGTGGAAATGCAGGAAATGGTGATATGGAGGTTTCTGAAAACGGGATCCCCAATAGCTGGTTGCTTTACAATGGAACATCATGAACATCCCATCTATACATGGATGATTTGAGGATTGATTTGGGGATACCCGATTTCAGGAACCCCCCCCATCTGTAGTTGGGATCCCCAAAAGTTGGTAAAATCTTACTAAAATAGTGTTTTTTTTGAAAGCTGTCTCTGGGGATTTCAATCGGAATCCTAAGTTTTGATCATGGCACATAGTTTTTGGCCAGGGATGGGATGCTAAAACACCAATGGTGGCTTTGGACACTTCAAGAAATGAGAAAAATAGACGATCCAGGGCCCCAGGGATCAGGATTGGATATGATCGATCCATGGGTATGTTGTATTATGTTCATATTGTTTTTGAATGCTTGTGCAACGGTAAACATCCAAGAAAAGAAGCAACATTAGGTATTTTGGCCAATGCTCACCCAACAAGCTGGCTGATGATCCATAGAAACACAAGACACGTATTCCGACAAACAAAACAGTAAAGGGAATATCAAATTGCACCCCGCCGCAAGATCCAGCCGTTTGGACAACCAACCTCAGGCATTCCCATGGATAAGTGATCAGCCACCAAGCATTCTTTCACGATTAAAGCATTGTTTCTACATGGGTGCTTCAACAGGTTTCAAACAAGATCAACTGGCTTCATCCCCTGGCGAACCTAAAAAGGTCCAATGATATTCAATTAGTTCAAATGTTATAATGTTGGTAAAACAAAAATAAACCATCCCCAGTCATCACCATTTGTATAGGTGCTATGTTTACCATTCCCAGGAAAATGGATGGTTTAAAAAACTGCTCCTGCCTACCTGAACCGAACGTTTGGAAGAGATGTCCAGGGCCAATTTGTCTCGAGCTTTGAAGACCTCGGGTGCGCACGGCGGTGCTGTTCTGCGGCTTCGCTTAAGGGTTCAGAAGGCCTTGGCTCTGAGGGGAGAACAACAAGAATGGTGATTTAACCAACAAAAATGGTGGTAAAATGGGGATATAGTGGAATATAATGGGGATTATTTCGATAAATTATAATTGATACAGGGTCGGGAAATGGCTGACTTTACCTCGATTCTATATGAAGCATTATAAACCAAATTTACTTCCCTTGACCCCTGGGGTGTTGAGAGCAACCCTGCTTAACATGGGAAACATGCTGTATTAGACCCAACAATGACGCACATATCGGAAGTCCTCTATATGATACCCCAAGGTTGATCAAATGACCGTGGGGGATCCCAAAGTGCTCCCTCCTGTCTCCTGCTGACTCCGCAAAACTGAGACTTCGCAAAACTGGTATCAATATCATTTACCAATTGCCCATCAAAATGGGCGTGAGTATATAATATCAGCTATTGTTATGGGCAATACTGATATCAATCCATTTAATATCAGGTTACCAATTATATACACATCAGTATAATGATCTATGAATTGTTTTACTGATAAACGATCTACCTCTGGACATAAAGCCAACTCATCCTGTTCTTGCTATTCCACCAAAATGGCGAGTCACCACTGGGATTGCCAAAGTGCAAACATCGGAGCCTTGAAATACCTTCAACCTTCATCTATCTCTCATCGGAACATGTCATTTCAGGTCAGCTGTTACAGTATAATATAGATATAATGGTGTATAATCGGTGTATATGTATTATTGCATATTGATGCATATTGCAATGTAAATACACAACATTCACTTCAAAACCCATGCCGGCAATCATGCACAAACTGTCCCAACTGGTTTGTCCAAACCGGAAACACACTAAAATATATACACATATCATCAAATATCGCATTTGAACTACATAACCCTATAGAAAACTCACTATAGATTCCCATGATATATATATATATATATATCCTTTCTAATTCCCTTTCATGGCATATGTCTCCCTTGCCAGGTCACATTCTTGGCCTCGTTGGGATCGTCAGGCAGCACCTGAGAGTGGCGCCATCACGACTGCGATAGCAAAAGCCTGTTGATACTCTAATATTAAGACATATATATATAATTATATATATACACATATCTAGAACATGCTATCATTAATGGTGTGAACACAATTCTTGATGTGGTCAAACTATGTCAACATTATTGTATTAGTTTCCCGCATTCCACTTGTTTGGAGCATCTGTTGATGCGTGTTCTGCCACTCAGACGCAATCAGATGGAGCTGGTACCGCAATCATGTGATCCTGATAGCGGACTCGCACATGGGACAAATGCACCATTAGTCACCAATCACATGGAAAAAACAACATCACCAATCGATCTACCTTTGATTCACTAAACACGGTCACAGTCTGCCTTTCTTTGGCCCAACAAAAACATCTATGGCTGAGGCAAGAGGCCCCCCTTTGGACCAACCAAGTAGTCATTTGGGATGATTTATAACCAAATGACTTCGATACATATTCAAAACATATAGTGAAATACATCTTGGGGATAGTGAAAAATTGGGAATAGTGAACAATAACCATTGGGGATAGTGAAAAATAACAATTGGGGATAGTGGAAAATAACCAGTGGGGATAGTGAAAAGTCAATATTCAAAACCACCCACCAGTCAACCAAGGAATACCAAGGATCATCTTCGCAGGATATCAAAGGTAGGGCCAATTTGAAAAGATTCAAGCGTTGTCCATAAAAATACGTAAGCACCAACATTTGCAGCATTTGCAGCTGGCGGAAATCTGACATGGAACCCCAACAATGACCATGTCGACGTCGCTTTTTTCAATCTGAGCCGATGTTCAATCCCAAAGCTGTTATTGAAATGTTCACCCTCTCAGCTTAACATGTGCTCTTCACTCCAAACTTCCAATTTTCCAAACCCGAGTTTGTCCAAACATGGAAATCCCAATGATGACATCATTTTGAATGGGAAAATAAAGGGCAATGATGATCAACCACGGGATAGGCGTTGTTTTCCCATGGGAAAATCCCATGGTTTTGCCGCGGCACGTGGGTGCAGTTGGACACGGCATTGGGCTCCGCGAAGATCCAGGAGGCCGTATGCGCGGGCATGTCGATCCTGAAGGTTGGGGATGTGCAGGGGATGTGCCCCAAGGGATGTGGATATTAAAAGATAGGACATATGGTATACCACTGATCATTAACTATATATCATCAACGACAATATCATTTATTATAGCAGGATCATCCCACTAATTAGTACAGGGATGTTAATGCTTAGTAAATGTGCTTATAACCCAGTTTTTTTTATATGGGGGAATCCACTGAAATTACAGTACTCACCACTGATTTGTGGGATGATCCTCCAAGCGGGAATGCAGCCAGCATCCCAATTCGGACTTGGAGATTGCAGACAGGTAGGTCCCAACATTTGCTTTGGGCGTGCAACCAAAGTATATAGTTGTATAAAAAAACACATATTCTATATATATATATATATATATTATATACCCTCTGGTTATTTAACATAGCCACGGAAAATCGCCCATTTATAGATGTTGCTTGATGATTATATGATTTACCTATTAATAATGGTGAATTTCTATAGCTACATTAGTCACAACCAGAGGGTATAATATATATATATATATATATATCACGTATATATATATATATATATATATGTTGGGATCCGTTGAACCCAATCAGATTTTGGGATTTGGGGGTTTTGAGCCAATGACTCAAAGCATATTTCAGGATTTGGTCACCAATGGACCAAGGAACATGATCAAACATTGCTTCAAATGCCAAGAAAACCGTCCATGATGGAGGCGTGATCATGTTGAGCTATACCCACATGATGTTGTAATGCGGCAAGAAGTGTTGGGAATTTGGAATACTCAGTGACAATTAACTCTAATGATGATCCGTGTATGATGGTGAAACAAAGCCTTCCATGGAGCAAGTGGGCTGGCCCAACCGCGATGTTTTTTGGGACATAAGTGTCCCGAAACTGGATCACAAGTGATGCATATACTGTGGGGCATGACAACACAAATGACTCTTGAAATACGCAATGCAACACAGTTTTCCAAACAAAATACACGATAAAAACCACACAACCGGTTCAAGCATGGTTAAGTAAAACACAACGGACGTCATCTATTATAACTGTCTATCACCGTCATCCATCACCATCATCCACATAACCATCATCCATCACTTGCAGTAACCATGTTGCTTTACGTAGTACTGGTTTAGTTGTTTAGTTAAGTGATGGATGACGGTGGTGTCCCAAACGTTCATGGTTCATACTGAAAACCTTACTTCACCTTACTAAAACCAGGGGGCAACATGGAGATTTCTTCTTAAATGGGGATCCCCGAGGCATCATGGGTTTCAATCTAAAGTCATGGTCATCCATGACGACTGGATGATTTTTTGGAGCCAATGACTTAGGAAAGCTCCAAATATCCTGAAAAAAAACCACCGTATCAAATATTGTTGGCTGGTCATATCCCATGGAATTTCTATGAATTTCTGATATCCCTATATGATTTCCCGCCGAGGCAATCATGATATGGATATGGATGATCAAGATATGACTTAATGTGGGTAAAACAATGATAAACCATCCCCAATTTCACCATGAATAGGTGATATAAACCATTCCAAAATGGGTGGTTAATGACATGGTTTTAACCACATGAGTGGGATTTCCCTATGGTCTCCCTATTCTTTCCATGGGAAAAAAACACGAAACTCACGTCACGCCACTCTGGCACCACGCGGATGGAGAAGTTGGCGGCGAAGGCGATCAGCTCTTGTACCATCCCCTGCCGTCGAAAAAACCAGGATAAAACCAGCAGAAAACCAGGGAAAAGGAGGAAACACAGATTGAACACCCTGATAAAACAGGAAAAAATCAGGAACCACAAAGTTGGCAAAACACTGCTTGGATTGTGCCTCAGCACATCTTTCCACGAAAATCTCAGTGCTTTCGGCTGAGGGGAGTATACTTTTAGACTTGATGTCAAGACCCCAAGAATCGCAACAAAATCTCGAACATTTGAAGTCAATATACGTCTTTTTGCTAAACAATGTCGATTCACAATTGTTTCTTCCATTGGATGGGTTTGTTTGTAACATGTGCTACACCAAAATCCCATGGTTCAAACAACCGTTTCATGATATGTTTATCTCTCATACTTGCCGTTTTGGAGTTGATCCTCATGCTTTCCCGATCTTTTTCCCCATGTTTCATTCATTTCACAACATCCCATGCTGGGGTAGCCAGCATGGACCACCTTGGAATAGCTCTTGTTGGGTCCAAAGGACCCCAACTCCGCCAGCTTTGGCAATGACTCCAGATCCAAGGGAAAACTCATGGCCTGAGACAGCTTCCTTGCCACCCCAGGGGATACTGGCCAAATATCTCATCATATAGTAAAATGATCTGGGTTGAAAATAGCAAACATCTACATTTTCGATACACATATATATATATATATAAATATATAGTAAATTTCACAGATTTGTCCCGCCAAAGTGGCTCTCATTTACTGAGAAATGGATGGCTGGATGGCTTGGGTTGGAAAGCTGAAGACCAAGCCAGGTGAGTTTTAAACGTTCTGACTTTGCTTGGTACCAAATATGGACTTACGGCACGGCCTATATTAGGACGAACCCAAAATAACCCATACATCATCATATATCTGCAACCAAATGCTTTATACTGGATACTGAATGTAACCTGAACCCTCTGTCTTTTAGAGGACGTCTGCTTTTTGTGGTCCGAGACCGACATTTGGATCACTTCCTGTACTTCCAGTGGTTTTCAAAGCATCCCAATCCCCTCCGGAACCAGCACCTTCCCTACGTTCGGTGCCCCCCAGATGTGGGGCTGTCGGTTTATAACCCCCATTTTGATAATGTTCGATATATATCATAAAGCTCATCGTGAACCCAGTTATGAACCAAGCTAGCTATCATAAATCAACTATACATCCTCATTTTCCTTTGTGAAATCCCCATTCTCAGTATACTCTCTGGTAATCTGGCTTGCTGGAAACTCCTATAAAGATGATGTCCCACCATCTAATCTCCATTTACAGGGTGTTTCATGGGATTTTCAATTGCCACATCTTCAATAAAGATGATTTTCCCATATTTTCCCAATATTTCGGTCATTTCCGCCACATTAACCCATTGCCCCCGCGTCCACATCAACGCAGCGAATGAGCATCGGTGAGGTGCCAATGCAAGACATTGAGCTTGGTGGAAGCCATGCCCAGCAGCAAGGACTTCATGACCTCATCCGGGGGGACCCATGACAGATACTCGTGTCGATGGCTATGAAAGTCATGGGGGAAAAGGATGATCAATCAAACATATCAAACAATGTTTTTTTTTTTTCTGCTATATATATATACAGTTTGATATGGAGATAATATGGGATAATGATGTTCAAAAGGTCAAACCAAAGTTTTTTTGGGCTGGTTGCCCTATTTTCAGACAAGCAATTCAATGATGTGTAGGCATTCGGGTTCTCTCTGTCATCAGAATCATCATCCAAATCATGATGTACCCTTTCCGCCGCGTCATTACCATTTTCATCACCACGACGATCACCGAACAAATATGGAACAATGATGAATGACGGCCACCTCACAGTACCAAAAGCCACATCGACTATGTTTGACCATCATGCGGTTGAACACCTCAGGGATCTCCCTTTGAAACAGCTGAAGTTGGTGAGCACAGATTGGGGCAGGGTGATCTTCTATGAGACACCCCATATACTATCAGCATTTCAGAAGGTGCCCCAGTTCATTGCCTAAGTTGGTAAACATACCTAGATCAACTGGGGCTTATAGAAATTAGAACCATAGTTAGACGGGTGTTTATGTTTTTTCCACCAATTTCTTAATGAAGAAGGCACCACAAGGACCTTGTAATGGTTTAGATCCCCAAAAAAATCCGGTGGAAACTCTCATCCCAGGAAATCTTGCCCAAGCAATAAAAAAAGGCTCTGTCAGTCTGTCTGAAAGAAAAAGAGTACCCAAAATCCAATGGTTATTCATAAATTATCCCATGAAATTGGCCAACATTTATAGATTTACTAGATTTACCCCAAATCTTTTGAGACAACCATCAAAAAAGAAACATGTTGATACAGGGAAGGGCCCTTTTGATTGGATGCCTGTTGGTCATATTAAAAAAATCCACAAAAACGTAGAAAATGACGAACACATGTCACTGTCCACCCCGGCGCCTGCATGGGAATGAAATGTCGTGCCGTATCCAGCATCAAACCACGCCATTTGAAGCGCGGATGATCGTCGATCTGCAAAGAGACCACCTGCAGTCCACTGCAGTAGGGGGCAAAGAGAAGCGAAAATGAACATACCCTCTGGTAAACTAACATAACTATGGAAAATCACTATTTTTAATGGGAAAACTCACTATAAATGGCCATTTTCAATAGCTATGTTAGTTTACCAGAGGGTAATGGTGGTTTAAAATGGTGGAAATATGACGGACATCATTAATGTCATGTATAATATGTATATTTCAGATGTTGCGTGAATAGGATAGTAATGGAATATTGGTTAAGTTACCATCCCGTGTCCTCAAACATGGCTGGCAAATCCCCATGAATGAAGGTTTCTAGCTGGGAAAAACATGGATAAAATATGACAAAATCATGGAAACCTAGTGTTCCTTGATATTGAACGGGGTCATTGATCAACAATCGCCCAAGCGTGCTGTCCAAACCATTCGTGGCTTAAATTTGAATCCTCTTACGAAGTCTCATCAGCTCATCAGCTCATCATCTAAGGACCGTTTAGCTAAAATATAGGATACCCCTAAAATCTGCTATATAGTTAAGAACGCTTACAGTAGACATCAGTAAACTATTTTACACATGTGTGATCCATTTCCCCCATTCAAAAGGCAGTTTTTGGTTTAATGACGCCCCATTTGCATCGCTTGTGCAACTCGTCTATCCCATGGTGCGCCTTTCCATCTGCTGAAATTCCAGGTGTCCAATGCCACCTTTGAGCATCACTCTGATCTCTCAGCGCGTCCTTTGTGTGGCACAAGGCGTGGAGAGGGTGCCACTGCATGGCCGACTGTACTGGTTGGTGAAATGGGGGCTGGGGTCAGAATTTGTAAAATTATGTGTGTGTATATGTATATATATATATAATATACACATGTGTATAGCATCATGCATCATGAAGGTTTGAACCATCAAACAAATTATGAACAATTCATGTAAATGGGACTATGCATCAGTATACCAAATACCTTCCAAGCATGACTAACAGGCTCACAATTTCTCAGCAAATGGTTCTAGGGCCTAGGTCAGTGACGTGTCACAGCCGCAAGAAAGTGCAGATGGCACGTGCTATCCACAATATCCACAATTGATTCGATGTTGCATCGGGAATCATTAGGAACCCCAAGCTTCCATTTGAGGAACATGTCTGATTGCAATGTGTATTTCCGTTCTATCCTTCTTGTTGTCGGGGTCATGGTTCAATGAATCCGCCATGAACTTCTTGGGACCCCAACTTCACCATGTCATCAAATCCCCCAGCAGGTCCTGGTTCTGCATGGCATGCACATTGCACTGCATGTATTTCAAGAAAATATTAATATAATATAATATAATATATATATAGTAATTAGACTAGAACGAATGAATAATATGATAAATTATATAGTAGACTATTGAATCATATAATAAAATATATAGTAGACCTATGTAATAATATATAATATAATATACAACAACTATAGAAAACAAAGGACCCAACAAACTCCAAGACCTCCAAGCTTCCAAGACTTGTAGCAAGGTCTCCATTCCCCGACGCAAGCCATGGATGGACGAAGCTCGCAGGGAAGATTTGCCATCCAGAGTTAGCTGATAGCTCTCATCCATGTCCAGGTGTGGCTTTTCATCGCTGGCTCCTGGTGGCGGAGGAGACCTGGATGGAGGCCTGGCGTTTTGTTGATGTTTTTTGGATGGGGAACGGCTGTTCGGCGCTCTTCGTGGTTCGTGATCACGTGTGATGGTGACGGTGATAATGATGCTGCTGCTCCTGCTGCTGCTGCTGATGATGATGATGCTGCTGCTGATGATGATGATGCTGCTGATGATGATGATGATGGAATAATGCTGGATATCCGCAGTCATATAGGGACCAGTCTCAAACTGCTGAGCCAGATGCACATCCAGGCACAGGTCGAAACAATTCATGGCAACCTGAATTTTCAACCCCCCCAAGAAAATGAAAGGTGTGGATGTTTGTAAATGTTCATCTTCAATGGTACTGCACATCAAAGGTGGTGAGCGCAGTTGTTGGGAAAGCTGTGGCATGCTGAAAGATTTGAAAGCAGCATTTACATCTTTACAATGTTTATGTTTGTTCCTGGTGTCCATTCATTTAGGATCTCAGATGTTCCCAGCTCCGTTGATGCAAAGAGGGTCAACCAAGTCCCGTTTATTCACGGTGGGAAATGGCAGAATCCCCATTGCCGATCATGCTTGATGAAAAAAAACGCAGATCATTGTTCATCCATTTTCATGTTTGCATTTAGTTCTTATTGGATATGTCCAGTTCCAGGGCTTAGTCTCCAGTCTCCCGTTGTTCCTGGGATGCACATGCCTTTTCCGCGAAAAAACCTGTCCTCCGAGCTCCAAAGTTATCACCTCCAGCCGTCGCGTCTCGACGTCGCTCGCCTCGCAGCTGCCCTTGCTCGCATCGCAGGTGGCCTCATCAGCCGTCTCCTCCTGAGCCGATGCCATGTGGACCAGGAGTAAACTACACAGTGGGCCGGGAATTACAATCGAAACCATACCAAGTTCTTCGGGAATTATTTTGCTTGGAATGATCCACGGCCTGACACACTATTCTGACATAGTTCTGACATACCATTTGGAAGTATATATGGCGCATAACATATATATATATAATATTATAATATATATATATATATTATAATTTAAATTATATATACACAATATATTCTGACATTCTATCTGACATGTTTTCTGGCATATGCTCTGGCATGCTTTCTGGCACCCATGATGGCCTGAGTTAACAGGTGGACGAGCAAAAATTGTGCCAAGACGCACTGGAAGAGACTGGAAGCCTCCGGAGCCCTGTATCAATGTTGGGGCCCTCCAGTTTTAAGTTGGTTCATAACCCCATCCAAATATAGTTGTAAGTATCCTACACTATGGTTATTATAGTTATAAACCAACTTAGCTAACTATGGGGCCCCATCCTGTATCAATGTTGCTAACAGTATCCGCTTCTCAATGGCCGGAGCAAGACTGGCTGTTTTTTTTTTGAGGCTCTGCCAAGCGCTGCGAAATCACACAACATTGAAAGTGGGGGAGCAGGCTGCAGGGGTGTCGAAGTGTCCTCACTAGAATTCAAGTTGGTTTGCTGCTTTTTTGGAAGAACCGGGTATTACCCTCTGGTAAACTAACATAGCTATTGAAAATGACCCATTTATAGTGAGTTTTCCCATTAAAAATAGTGATTTCCCATAGCTATGTTAGTTTACCAGAGGGTACCCAGAAAAGGTTTGTTCCTGAAGGGTCAACCTTCCACCACACATCTGGCCGGCGGCCAAGCTGCAGAAGTGTCAAAGGAACAAAGCCTCCAACACCAGTGCCACAAGGTCCACAGCACATCCGGCGATCCGACATTGGCTCCTCAGGATGACAGAAGGCACCCGCAGTGGATTCTCATGGGATTCAGTACAATGTGGTACCCCCCAGTGATGTTTGTTATCCCCCATCAACTATAGATATATCATGATATATCTACCATAAGTCCTACTTGTTGTAGTTATAAAATGTTATAAACCAACTTAGCTATCTATGGGGCACCACTATGTAGGATTTAATGATGTTAATAGGTTTACATCCCAAAATCATCCGAATCGTGCTGGTGTATTTACCTACATTGTGAAGAAAATTACAGAGTTTTGTAGTCAATCCTACCATACATGGATGGTATGGCGGCTATAGAGCCTGCCTTCAAAGCATTCTGAACAGTAGCCTGTAGCAAATAGTGCCTTGGCAGACATCCGATGCTACAGATTGCACTACTCCCATGCCCAAACGTATTGTCTATCCCATCACAAGGATCATCTCCACGATGTGAGAGCCGAAACATTGTCGTTTTAGGTCAATTTTAGTCTTGTTCATGGGGTTTAATAAGATTTATAATAGATTTATATAGTGGTGATTTTGGGTGTCCCCATCTCCTTGAAACGCACCGAGTATTTTTTTCCGGAACAACTGTCCTGATGGAGAGAAGTTGAAGGTGAGTTGACAGGGGTCAACACGAAGAGGGTTGATCTGCAGATTCGTTCCTGCCTCGGATCTGATAAAAGCCATGGCATTTGGTCCCACCGATGAACACGTTGCGACGTTGTCACTTTTTGGAACAGAATTCCAATTGCCTCTTGCTACCAAAAGCTGGGATGCGGGATGCGTGAAGTTATAACGAGTACCTCAAAATGGGTTTGCTTATTAGGAAATATGACCAGGCTTAAAGTAGGATCTTTGGACCCTAGTTACCATACCTTCTCCATGTCCAGCCGTGATACTATGGGCTGCCCATCAGCATGGAGTTCGATGTGCCGGGGTGCTGGCCAAAGATATTGTCGCAAGTCCTTGGTTGCGCAGCTTTGGTGCTTGTTGTCTCAGGGCCACTGACAGCTGAAACTTTCAAGAAATTCCTTGGATGCTGACGAACACTAACGCAAAGATAAGCAACGGCCATTTACAGGTGATAAACGGACCAAGGTAGCAAGGTAACTTTTGCAACTGGGTGTGCAGGAAGGTAACCGGGGTTGTAACTGCATTTGCAACTGGTTCATCTCTGGGCCAAAAAGCTGGAACAAAAACCCACCTAAGACTGGCAGTGGGCTAGGCTGCAACTATGGTCACTCAAGAACCAACTGGATCACCAGCGAAGCAGTTTCCACCTACTTACAGTGAATTGGTTCAATAAGTGTTGAACACCTCATTGACTTTCCAGAATTGCTGTGTTTGAATCACTGTTTGAAGCATCCCCAATTGGCATCTGAGTGAGCCATATGAGCCCAAGCAATAATAACATCCTGCAATCGCATTTGACTTAAAGCATCAACCAACAAGAGGGTCCGCCAGTCACCAACCCTTAAATATATCATTAGGATTTGACTGATCATTACTGATCCCCCCAAAAAAAAACTGACCCCTAACCAGTAGATAGGAAAGATGATATAAGATTCGCCCTCCAAAAAAACGTGGTTGTTGGATGGTGGTTCATGAGCACCTAAACCTTTATTGTTTGGGGTCATCTAACTGGAGGGGCTTTGACGTTTCACGAAAATCCGCCCAAGTTCCCCAGCAGCTCGGCGGTTCACGCCGCGCGGTAACGGCGGAGAGACATCCACCAGTTGGCTGCAGGAAATTCGCTCGTCCGTGGTGGCACGGACAAAAACCTCCCGGTGGCACTATTAAGCAAGGACTAAGGTGACTAAGTCAGGATCTATGGTTGCTAGATGTTGCTAGGGTGTATTATATATATATTATATGTGTTTATTTATATAACATTCAAACTCAAACTCTAGCAAGCAGAACAGGGAAACAAGTGGAGCCGAACATATGTCAATCTCTTTCTATTTGAAGTTTCCAGACATGAAAGCTTCTTGAACCAAACGATCAACGGGAATTCCCATTGCCTGTGAGTCACCAGCTAGTTTCTTGTTCAGTGTACCCTCTGCTAATCCAATGGAACAATAACCCGTTTGTAGAGTACATAATATGTTATACCTATTAAAGTGTATATATATAATTATATATAATTACATATAATTATATATAATTATACATTAATAAATTAAATTACCAGAGAGCAGGCATCGTCTCTACCACATAGTTTTTTATACACGCCAAACATCATCCAGTTGTGCCCACCTCACAAGCTTCACCGTGCCTCCGTGCCCACCATCAGCATGGACACCACCCGTCCATAAACTGCAGTCATGATGCCATTGGGCCATGTCTCAGGTGGCTTCAAGCGACATTTTTTTAAAAAGCAGCGTGATGCGTACATCAGATTCCTAAAGATGGAACCAAGCAAGTTGTTGTGATAGTTAAAATTCTGAAAAATCAGTAGTTGTTGTTTTCAATCCACTAAGTATTGAAGTACTAGTACACCTGGGGTCAGCTCCCAACTATTGGTGAAGCACATGTTCAATCCACCATCAGTACTTGTAGAAACCCAGTGTATATCGTATCAAAGAGAACATCATCCAGACCCATCTTGATGACACAAATGATTTGATGAATCTTTATTACCGAAATAAGTTGATGAAGAGTTTCTTCTATTTGCTCTGCAAACTCATCGCTTTGAGTATAGCAACCCCCAAACAGCTAGGAAAGGTAAAACACAACTAAACTAAGTAGTAAATTATACCGTTCATTCCACTTTTGGACGTGTTTGTTGGCCTATTTTGTCATGTGTACCCTTCATTAAACGACCATGTCCCAGGGCGGATTTTACCACCAAATCCTCAGGCATGCAACTGCCTTGAGCATCTTCAATGGTACCGCATTTATTTCGGCTTGACCTCACGAGAAGCCACTTCATGATGCACGTGCTGCGGTGGCCGATCCACACATGTGAAAAAAAAACGTATTTTCGCCTCAGTTTCTGTGATCATCTGAAATAGTCCCCATATGCTCCATGCATGGAATATTCACCAACATGTGCCCTAAAAATCACCCAGTTTTGTAGGTAAATAGACCATACATGGAGCATATGGGGTCTACACTTGTTGAATGCACTTCCCATCGATTTCGCCGCCGGTGTATCCAGGAGACCAGGTCCAATCACTGAGTCCCAAGGGGCGATCCGCATGCTCGAAATTTAACTGCCATAGATATTCATAGATAAACCACAAGCAAGACAAATGCTAGACAACGTGTTTGTTTTTTTTTCATATGGTATTTGGATTGATTATATACATGTTTCTACATCTTTCTACATGTTTCATCATGTGGTCCCTCGATTATGAGCTTCTATAATCTTCTATCGCCTCAACCGCAGCCCCCCTTTACGCTCCAAGGAGCCCCCCAAGTAGGCAGCCTTTTCAAAAAGCCGGTCTCCGCATCACCTTTCGACGCGAGACGACTCGCTATGTACAACGAGGCCGCAACAACCTGGCGATGGGACAGTTGTTGGGCATACCATGGCCCCGGATAAATATAAAGTCATTCTCTGATGAAGCATCCAATGATATCCAATCCTGGGGTTGTACAATACTGTACAATATTGACCCAAAGGCACCCATACGGGGGGGGGAATTATTATGGCACTGCTCCTCGTTCTGCATGGGGCATCTATTCATCCTAATATAGACAAGCAAACGCAAGACAACAATAACAACAGCAACAGCAACAGCAGCAACAACAACAACAACACCAACACCACCAACACCAACACCAACACCACACCAACACCAACACCAACACCAACACAAACACCAACACCACCACCACCACCACCAACAACAACAACAACACCACCAACAACAACAGCAACAGCAACAGCAACAGCAACAGCAACAGCAACAGCAACAACACCAACAGCAGCAGCAACAGCAATAGCAACAACAACAGTAACAATCACAACCGACGACGACGACGATAATGACGACGACGACGATAATGACGTTGGCGGCGGCTACTGCTACTGCTACTGCTACTGCTAATATATTATATGTGTTAATAATGATCATCATTGATCATTCTATTAATACTGTAATATCCCATGCCGTCCTTGTACGTACCCACATTTACTGGCTTTAGGGAAACCTAAATGTATTAGTCTTGATCATCGATGATCTGGATATATGAAACTTAATGAAAATTATTTACAATATTCTACACCAGATGTGACATGATTAAAATATATATATATATATTTTGAATCATTTCACCCACAAATCCGTGATGATGGGCAAGTTTAGAGGTCTCAAATGCCTGACCTGGCTCGATGGCCGACACCCATCAGTTCACTAGAAAAGGCCCTTGACTACCAGCTGCTTGAGCTCAGTTTCACCTGTAATTACACCTCTTTTACTTACGATTGTCACAAACCATAATCAACCGTTTTCGAAAGAAATCTAGTTCCAAGCCCAGAATCCATTGAAAAGAACGACATCGAAAACTAATCAGAGTTCAGAATTGTCGGTTATTCTTTCCATAACCATGAAAATCACCGGGCTACCGAGCTGCACCCACCCTTGGGGGCCCGAGCCCGAAGCGGTCATTGCCCTCCTGATCAAGGGCCTGTGGCATTTGATCAGGAGATGAAGGGAGGAATCTGTTGGAAATACACTCTGGTAATTTAACATAGCCATGGAAAATCACCATAACAGTTGCCGCTATTTAGCTATGTTTCTTCGAGTGTAAGGTATACCCTCTGCTACAATCAACCAGTGGAGAACGACGATCTGAAATTTCTCCAACACTAAACAGGGGGTTCCGACAATTATTATTTTGGGAGAAGAGATTGTCCTATCATACCTTCTAGGAAGTGGATGGGAGAGTGTTGGCTCTTAAAGACAACGGGCCAGATTGGTGATTTCAAGTGAATTCTCTATCAATAAGCTGGTTCTCAAATCTGCGTATCTTCGTGTCATCGGGAATGGATGGCATCCAGCAGGATTGGGGATCCGGAAAAAAACATTACGGCATTTGGCCGATCGAAAACTAATTATATACATGTTTTTTTTTCCTTGCGACGAGCAAAACTATTTTGAATCTTGATCTTGATACACTCCATGACCTCAATGTTTAAGGATTTTTAGGGGTATATAGAGCATTGAGGCTTCTCGGAGTCGGTGCCATGGTGCCATGAATGCCAAGGTCAAAATAGGAACCATGGGATAACCATGGGACGCATGGCTGGGATTTATTTAGTAACAACATGTATAAATCAGATTAAACAAGTACATTAATCTATAAATAATTCCTAAAATGGTCTCATTTGGCATGGCATCATGGTGCATTGCTGGGTGTACATTGCTCAACTTTGATCCATTCTCATCCAATAGCTTTTTGCTGCCTCTGCCTTTCTCACACATCAAAAGCCATCAACGGTGAGCGAGTTCCCCCTCACACATGCCCGAAGACTTGGATTGTAGCTTGGCACATAAGGTGTGTCTTAAAAAACTTAAAATGGGGTACCGCAAAATCCAGTGATGATAACTTGTCCAGATATACCTCCATTTTCAGACACGTCCAAATAGATTTATTGATACCCATAGGATCCATGGTGCTGGTATATATGCTAACATAACTGGGGTATATTGATGGGATCCATGTTATTACCATATATAGCAGCACCATGGATCCTTTGGTCAATGGGAATTCCAGGATCCTAAAATGGAGGTACTGTACCATATAAGGCCATATTTTGGGGGGATATCCCCTTACATAGGCCTGAAAAATAGGCCTTATATATGGTAGGTACCTCCATTTTAGGATCCTGAAATTCCCATTGATTTGGTCCTTTGGGTAACCGAGCTTTCGGATCCACCAGCGACCCGCTGCCATCCACGGTGACCTTCAGCGCGCCCGCAACGGAGAATTCGCTGAGAGCGGACCTGGTGTTGGAGAGCCACTAGCAGTCACTAGTCACTACCAACTGAGGTTAGGTTACCAACAACTACCTGGTGTTGGTAACCTATGATAACTAGCAGTAGTTGCAAAGAAATGTTGATACGTTTAGGTTACCAACAGGCATGAACACAACGAAATGAGGCGAAATACTGCTGTCGAATCATCCAATGTCCACCGTCCATGCCAAATGGTCCATATAATAGCGTGCCAAATTATCTGTGATGGTCCATAATGTTATTTAATTGTAATAAATAATGGTTTGAATGATAATAATATATAATAATGATACTATATGTCAACATATTTTAATAATTTAACACTAATGGTCCGTATTTAATGGTCTGAGTCTAATGATTTAGTGTTCCTGTTGTTTTCTTCAGAGCGAATGTCCTTTTCGTCCCCTGAACCGAAAACCTGCAACCGAAAATCACCGCCACACTGAGATCTGTTATAGCAGGATTATTCATGACATCTAACATGGAAAATCTTTATTGTTTATGATGATTAATCTAAATATATATATATATATATATATTATATTATCTATATATATTATATTATCTATATATATATTATATTATATTATATTATATTATATTATATTATATTATATTATATTATATATATATATTTTCTATCTATATATATATATTATATTATCTATCTATATATATATTATATTATATTATATTATATTATATTATATTATATTATATATATATTATATTATCTATCTATATATATATATTATATTATCTATCTATATATATATTATATTATCTATCTATATATATATATTATATTATATTATATTATATTATATTATATTATATTATATATATATAATATTTTCTATCTATATATATACATATATTATTATATATTATATTTTAGTATACACATATTTATGTAGGATCTATGACATCTTCGGATCATCTTGGAGGCTATAAAAAATCGGGCTTCAAGTTCATGATCGCTCTAGCCCTCGCCTTCGTCCAGGTTGTAGCAACCCCCAAAAAGATTGAAAAGTGACTACCTTGGAAAATAATAGAAAATAGTGATTACCTTTCTGCATCTTTTTGGCTGGTTCTATCAACAAATCTCAGCGCCTGGGCATGTGCCTTTCCAGCGGTGGCAGCGGGCCATTGCATGCCATTTCAAGCCCCTCCTGGCAGCCCCAAAGTGCGGGGAATCAGCGACAAGGCTTGGATCCTACAAGGTGTTTTTTTTCCCCAAGATAGCTATGGTTTATAGGTGATCTCTCTATAGTATTCATGGAGTTTTAAAACCCATTTATAACGTTTGGGGGGGCACCACCTGGTAGATCTACTATGTCTTAGTGGGGGTATGTGGGATTTAATGGGGGTTGATATTTGCTGATAAGTGGATATAAATGGTGGATATAAATGGTGGATATAAATGGTGCATATAAATGGTGGATATTGTTCAGCAACCCATTTAGATTCCCAAAGGCTAACTGGCTTACACATGACCTAAGAAGAATTGCTCTGCTATTGTCTGGTGGATAGCACTTGGAATCAAAACCCTGCAGAAATCACATTAAATTCAAAGATTTAATTGAGCATATATATTTGAAATTGAAACACATGACATAGTAATACGTAGTATACAGAAATTGTATACATATTATATATATAATATATATTCAAAAAAACAGCACTTGCATTTTAACATCAAACATGATCAAACCCTCCATCTTTGGATTGGGAATTCACTGAATTCACTCGAATGTCCCCAAAAAATAGCGGCTCAAGATGGCCCAAGGTGCCTTGGCAGCCGCGACTTCTGCCTAGCACTGAACACATTGGCGAAAAAAATGGGTCAAAACCTACATAAACTCAGGAGCAAGGCTCATCTCAAGTGACAAACAGTTTTACCATCTGGTAAACATACAAAAAGCTATTGAAGCCATGGCCATAGTAAGTTCGTTGATTTACCCAGCTACATAGCATGGTGATTGTCCATAGTTGTGGAGCAGTTTACCAAAGGGTAACAAAAATCAAACGCTGAATCCCGTGAAGGCAAATCGCATGAACCACATTGAAGCACAGGTTTTTCGGTCAAGATTCAGAATCACTAGGGACCACCTACAGGGTGCTAACCCACCAATTTATCAGTAGCTTTGTAAACCATGTGTTTATGATATAAGAAACAGTAGTTAACAGCTATAAACAGTAGTTATAGTATGTAGTCTATAGATACAATAACAGTAGTTACAGTAACCTTAGTTCACCTATATTATATATACTGGAAAAAAACATAAACCAACTTAGCTATCGCAAACGGTGTCCCAAATTTGTATCATTGTTCAGTTGCTGAAGACCACCCTGAATACTCGCATCATGAGACGCCTCTTCCAAACAATAAACACCCCGCAAGAAATCCAATAGGGAAAATTTACAGAAACCCATCAATTTTCCCATGGAATATGGGGGTTTCCTGTATTTGTTCCCTGAAACCAATCCATTGATGATTTGATGGTGGGATTCTGTCTATTTTGGTAAATCTGTTCTGGTTAACCCAATATTGTTTCTACCCACAAGAAACACCCCATTGAATCTGAATCGGCTTATGTTTCGTTGCAATATGTCGGGGGGTTCCTATGTTCCTCTTGCAGAGATGAAAATCATCATGATTCTTGGATATTCTTGGGCGGTCACTCCTGGTCACGTGGTGACGCCTGCCTTGTACTTGGACAACTCTCCTTCGGCACGATGCCTGGGGTGAATGACCACGGATCCCATTGCTATGGCAACAAAAAAACATGGTCCTCTGTTGGACTATGGATCCATCTTGGGATATTTCAAGCATTCAACATACTTCAGCGCCGAAATTCAGCAACCTAGAGATTTAGTTTTGTCCAAAAATGAAACCCAAAATTGTTGCACCACATAAGCAAGGAACATGCTGGTAAACGTGGGACTTAGGCGTACCCATTTTCAACCAGAGCCTGGGGAACTGGGGATCCCCTTCCCCCTGGGCAAGTCATACATCGGCAAGTCACGCTCTCCGTTGGTTCCTGGCAGCGGTCAATGGATATTGGCCAATACGCATTCTATCCGCCGAACCCAGCGGGAGCAAGGGGGGAGCGCTTTTCGGGGAAAACGAATTTGTGACACCGCCACCACCACCACAACAACAGACACAACTGTGGTCGAAAAAAATGGGGCGATCCAAGTCTACAGGCTTTGCCCCGGTCCCCTGGATCCCCTCGGTCCCCTGGGTCCCCTGGGTCCCCTGGGTCCCCTGTCCATCCTGTCCTGGCCAAGCGTTCTCGAAGTTCCTTCTCCTCTTGGGCAGCTTCCTCCTGCCGCGGCTGGGGGGAGATCGATGGAGATCGAAGCCTTCGGCCATTGGCGATAAACAAAAGGTAGGTCATTCCTAGTGACTTAGGATCCATGTATGGTATATATGCTAACTGCTAACATAACTGGGGTATATTGATGGTAAATGTTATCATATACAGCATACATGGATCCTATGGGCTAGTGACTTAGGAAATCAAGATTCACAAAGCTGTTGCACAAGGCCAGTGCAATTTGGGGACTTCTTTCTGGACTTCTCGTGTGTAAACACGTCTGATCGAGATGAGGCCGCTGCTACCCTAAACAGGTCACCAGCTGAATGGCGAACCTCCCCAAGTATCTTTCACTTTTGCACGACAAGTGAAGTGAAATCCAGTCGGATGAATTGCTGTAAAGTCATGTGCAGTCCCAAGGGACAAGGAATAAGCCCTTATATATCCCTTATGGTTTTCATAAATCACTGTGCGACACTTCATAATCTATGATCTGCATGAATCTCCCTCCATTTCCGGGATCATCACCCATGTAAGAAAGTCACCGGTCTGTCCTCATCAAAACTGGCAATAAATTGGTGGTATTCCATGCTATTCCCCATTCAAACCATCAGATTAAATAAACAATGATGGATTTGTTGGTCCCATTGAATCATTGTGAAAAATAAAAGTTATAGTTCTTCATGGTATTATGATGTATATTATCTGGGTAAACTATAATAATTCACTAACCTGAATTAAGGCTATTTGGGGATGATTTCCCTTATTAACCATGATTCCAGTGAGGTCGCAGTGAGGTCATAATTTACCCAGATATTATGTATATCCCACTTCAAAAAGTATCGCATACGTTACATTCCCGTGCAAAATCCAAAAATCCCATTCGGCCCATTCCTTGTGTCATCCATGACCATCCAGCTTCGTGGTTCATTGAATTTGTTTACCCCTCTGGTAATTTGTTACATAGCTAATAGCTATTGAACATGACCATTTATAGTGGATTTACCTATTGAAAATGGTGATTTATAGTGGATTTACCCAGCTACATAGCATGGTGATGTTCCCTGACCATATGGTTATGGAGCAGATTACCAAAGGGTATAGATCCCACGAAATCCATTAGTTCTACCCTCCATATGATAAATCCCATAGAATTAGGTTACATTCCCATGTGATAAGTGATATCCAATTGAAACAAATCCATTGGACAAAATCACCATGAATTCCAATAGTTATACATTCCCATCTAGGTATCCCCATACAAAGGTTCATTAAACAAAACACCATGAAATTAGTTTACATTCCCATGTTGTATCCCAGCAAATGTCCAGCCGGTTGGTGGTTTCAACCACTCTGAACAATATGCTCGTCATTGGGTTGAGGATGACATCCCATATATGAAATGGAACAAAAACCATGTTTGAAACCATCAACCAAATGATTATTAACCATTATTAACCATGATTAACCATCATTAACCATCATTATCCCATACTAAACCAATGTTCCCCAACCATCATAAATCAGCATTAAAAATCAATGGCTCATCCCCCCACAGCACCTCCGTGCTCCGGAGCCCTTGGGCCATCTCCAAGCGCAGCTTTTGACACTCGGCGTCCAAGGTCAACAGCTGCTGCGGCTGTTTTTCCAGGCGCCTGGCGGAGCTAAAGGGACCCAAAACTGGGGATTTCACGTGCAACAAATGGGGATTGAACTCTGATTTAAGCAGCAAAAAAACATGATTTAACCAAACTAAAGTACTGTTCAATGGGTTTTGATCCATGAACTATTGATAGACTATACTATTGACTCTTTGACCTTAACAAGCACTAGCAAGTATCAATAGTTACTCCCGTAAACATACGAAAACAATGTGGAAAAAACACCATGAAAGTAGATCAATGTCCAAACGGAAAACCATTGGTTTTCCAGAATTGATTTACATGGATTTAACCAGCAACCACGAGGTTTGTTTTTGTTTCACCAGGAGGGTAGCAATTGGATATTTTTTTCTGGTGTGTTCTGCTTCAATGAGGTTGGATTGGATGAACTTGGAATTTATGATAAAAGTAAATTTGGAAAACCTTTTGTTTCATGAAGAAAGAACATAAATTGGATTTCAAGAACAATAGGGATATGAATGGATATGAGCAGCACAGTACTGAGATGTCACTGGGTGGAAGGTACCAAGTAACAATCACAGGAAACTCCTTCATTTTGGATGATCTCTTCTTGCTACGTTCAACGGCTGCTAAAATGCTGGGCACGGGCATGAAGAGATGACCAGCGGAACCAAAGACATGTCAGGAGAGATCAATTTTCTTTCTTAACTGGAACCATGTTAAAAAGAACTGTTAAGTTGAACTGCTGGACGAAATTGTTGTTCCTTGGCTAAACTGCTATTCAATTCTTTTGGACAGGAACTGCTTTAACAGCATGAGAATCCATCGCCCTTCTAGGAAGAGGGAGCAAGCGTGGCCATATTCCAACCTGGTGAACTATGGCTAGAAGTCGGTCTTTTGGTACATGGGGACGGACATCAACTGTGAATAACTGGTGATTGCAAGAGACATTGATAGCTTGAGAATAACTTGATAGTTTGATGGATAAACAATTCGTTTCTCCAAATGGAAATATTTCACCACATCAGAAATAGTTGGATTGCCATTCCCTAATCCACTGTATTCCCAGTGTGATCCCATTCATGTGTCCTTATGAAAAAGGAATCAAACCATGGGTACAACAGCACTTTTACAGGTACTTGGAAGGTCCAGATATGTTATACTATCATATACTATCATATACTATCATATACTATCATATACTATCTATCTATCTATCTATCTACCTACCTACCTACCTACCTACCTATCTATCCTCAGAAAGTCTCGGCCACACCTGTCCCATGATTTCAGCAGGTCCATCTGCATCTGCTGGAACTGCTGACGTTTCTCAAGTGCCTGGGTCCCGGGATGGACACCTCTAAAGGTGATCTGAGGATAAAGATAATGGGAATAGGTACTTGACTAAATGAGGTTAGTATATCCATGTATATACTATCTTTAGATATGTGGTGAGTATCTGAGTGAGGCTTTATCTATGTAGTAAGTTCGTACTCAAAGTGGCGAATGATAACTTCATGTCAATTCTATGGGATCAATATATGGAAATAATGGGGATAACAATGGAATAATTTAATGGTGATGTATATGCCAACCATAGTGTTGGTAAAGCAATAGGATCCACCATCCCCAATTATTTACCATTGTTTGGGGTGGGTTTCCAATCATTCATCCATTTTTGGGATAGTTTATGACATTGCTTTACCAAGGTTATTTTGTGAGCATGCTATGCTGAGATATCTTCATGATATACTACAAAAAACACCCACAATGATGTTTGGTACCTGCAATTGGAACAAGTACTGCCCCAAAAATCCTAAAGAGAAAAACATAACAGTTATAGTTGACACCTGATGGCAAACATGCGAAAAAAAAACGTGGAAAACACAATGGTTTCCTGTTGGGGAAATGATCTACTTTCATGGTGGGTTTTCTGCATTTCTTTGTCTGTTTACAGGAAGGTCACTATGTGTAATTGGTAGTGTTTGTTAAGGTCGAAGAATCGATAGTATATCAATAGTGAATGGATCATAAACAATTCGTAATTGATCTGAGCAACTACAAGTTCCTGGAAACAAGACTAAACAATCATTCAATCATTGATCTTTGCTGAACATATAATATACCGCTGTTTTCATCATGTCTTGTACCTCGGACACGTCTTCGACCACACTTGACAATCATTCCATGGTTTCTTGCAAAAAAACTGATTACAACACCAAAGAAAGAGAGACAAAAACAATGACAATTCGCATCAAGAATTGTGATGACTAGTAAATCACTGGATTGGTTTAAGGGAAAATCTTAAGCGGAAACCATGGTTTTTACCATCAAATATAGGGCTTTCCGGTTAAAATTGTCCCATCATCCACTTCTATGAGTAAACCATGTAGCCTTTGGATATGAAACCTCCAGCAATGTTTGAATCATTTTGAATCTCCGGTAACCAAACGCAACAAAAACGCAACGAGGCTCCCAGCCTTCCTGTTGCATCGCCAATGGTCCAACCTGGCGGAGATCACCGCTCAACCACTCGTTCAACCATCTATGGTTATTCAATTTTATTATTCACCATTATTGTTATCTATTATTAACCATCTATGAATCTATGGTTATCTAATTTTATTATTCACCATTGTTGTTATCTATTATTCACCATTTATGATGGTTGTGGTGAATATTTTTTTTCTCAAGCATCATAGAGAAGATAACCCTCTGGTAAAATAGAAATAGTTGATTTACCCATTAGATCCCATTAGATCCCATTAAACCACCATAAAGTCCCATGAAATCACCATTTTTTTAATGGGAAATCACCATTTTTTAAAATGGAAATCACCATTTTTCATAGGTAACTTCGCCCATCCCTATCACCATTCACCACAAGCATTGTCATCTCGGTCGTTCAAGGCACACTGCAAAGATCTGCACCAAGGCGGTGCGAGAAGGGAAGCGCTGGAGTTTTTCCTCAAGCTGCTTCAGCTCCTGCGTTGCAACCCCCCAACGTTGGCGAGGCCAAAAGTTGGAACACAAACAATCCTGATGACTTATCAATATCTAGAACCACTTATCTATCATAGACCACCATGAGTTTTTGTTCTAGCGTTCCGTTTCTGAATCCTTGCTGGTTTATGATAGATATTATTATCAATATGAATCGTTGCACATCTCATGTAATTGGTGTACAATCCCAATCACAAGCAAGCCATGCTCAACATCCTGATAGGTTTAGAGGTCGTACAGGTGTGTTTACTCACATCTTAAACCTGACGCATTGCTGACGAAGCCCTGCGTTTTTGCTCTTGCGCTGACGAAGCCTTTTGACTAGCCGCTTACTTTTCAGGGTTTCCACCAATTTCAGCAATATCTGGTTGGTGGTTGAGCCCTACCCCTCTGAAAAATGATGGAGTTCGTCAGTTGGGATGATGACATTCCTAATATGATGGGAAAGCCATAATCCAGCCATGTTCCAAACCACCAACTTCAGCAATATGTTCATCAGGTTTGAACAGTTATCCCAAAAAATGACATGTGAATCGGTCCTTTGAAGCTCACATTTAGAGTTCTTAAATCTCACCCAGGCCAATGATTTTTGTTTCATATATTTGAATCGTCATTTGAATGGCAAACCCCACACGGGAACAAAAAAAAACGATACCAATCCTATTCCTTCAAACAATACCTCGGAAGAAAGTCATGCCACTCAAATGCTAGGTACGTACAAACCAAAACGACATTTGAAAAGAAACGTTTCACATAGCCACACTATTTGACTTATACCCTCCAGTAAATTAACATAGCTATGGAATATCTATATATATATATATATACATATCACTATGTTTAGTAGCCAAATCACCTATGTTCATGGGCCATGGCTTCCAGAGCAAACTGTTAAATCACCACAGGGTAAATAACCCTGGCATTATATCTCGGTACCGCTCCGGTCGTCAAACGTGGCAGAAATTCCCCCATGTACAGTTCTGGGACGCTGGCCTTTTCCAGCCTTCGACTCTCGACTTCGGTGTCCCTGCATTCCCAACACCAGTTGATGCTGAGAGGGATGGAAGTGTGTCCCATTGAAGGGGTATAGTTATATCCAATGAATGTTCCTTTCATATCCCATGCATATTCCATTCATACCCCATCAATATATCCCATTCATACCCGTTTATAGCGTTAACCTTCGAAACTGGCGGTTTATCCTAGGACAGAAAGTCTGAGACTTCTTCACTGGCGATCGGGCGCAGGTGTAAGTCATCAACATGTGCCGTTTGCTTTTGAACGTTGCCTGAAAAAAAGTGGATACCCTTCGGGTAATCACAGGTAGCAATGGGAAATCCCCTATAAATGGGGGGTGTTCATGGGGAAATCATCTGTTAATTCCATGCTTTTCCACTGCCATGTTGAACTACTGAAGGGTACGCAAACATAAAACGTGAATTCTGCAACCAATATCGACAATGTGCCCTTGTCTTTTGTCCATTAGCAGCATGCTTTGTCTTGCAGGGCAACATCATACTCTTCATGAAGACCCTCCAACAGTCATCTTGACCTTTGTTGTCCATGTATTGTTTACAATTGTTTGCAAGGGATTTTGTATCTTACACCCAATGCCAACTGGATACAGGTAATGACCAACAAAATTATGCTAGGCCAACCATCCAATGCATTTCAAACTACAGTAATTCAACTTCAACAATTGAAAAAAAACAACACAATTCATGGGCCATCACTTCATCATTCTTCATGATTCCATCAACAGCATGTCAGGGTGATATTTCCATGATCTTTCCCACATGTCGGTCTTACCTGAAAATGACATATATTTCCAAAATAAAATCTGGTTGATCAGCATTGCCCAACGTTTTCATGGTTGAAAAGGCGCATTTTCCATGTTACAATATCTTCTTGGGCTCATTTTCGACCTGACCTTCAGGCACAGGGTCCCGCCCGTGGCTGCCCCTCAAATTCCACTGGGATCCCCTGGGCACCTTAACTTCCTGAGATCTGTTTCGAGCTCAGCTTTCCATTGGAGCTCCAAATGAAGCTCTCGGGTGGAAGCGGCCTGCAGAGATTGACCGAAGGTTGCTTACTATGAAAACATGAATCAAACATGATCAATAATAAAGAATCATCAGCAAACGATAATATAGATACCATTATGACTATGGGTGTTCGAAGACTTTTGGATTTTTGGATCACAATAAACTGATTTTGGCATATTTTGGCAGCCGAATTCGAGCCAGTTCACCAGTCCCAGCCCAGGGATAGCCCAGGTAGAATGGTAAGAAACCATAATGAATATGCTGATATTGGCTACCCTCTGGTAATTTAACATAGCTACTGAAAATCACCTTTTTGATAGGTAATTAATCTATAAACGGTCCATTTTCCATAGCTGCGTTCGTTTACTGGAGGGTATACTTATATACTTATTATGAGAATGATGATGATATTGATGGCATGGAGGATATGAAATCATCACAATGACGATAATTAAGCTGCTGCTGCTGATGATGATAATGATGATGATTATGATGATGATGATGATGATGATGATGATGACATGCGCGATCATTGCGGATACACTAAGAGAGATGTCGGTTCTGTGACTGTTCTGTCATCATGATTTCCAGCATGTGCAAGCATCTTGGAGATACAAAGCGCACATGTCACCCTTCAACCAACCAAGTTTTAACCAACAAACTATCGAAGTCGAAACCTTCATGCAACCCTCTAGCCAGCACACGTCCAAAACTTGAGTATAGGTCCAAATTAAAATGGATGGTTGAATACGAACCATGACCTACCCTCTGGTCATCAAATGTGGCAATGGGCAATGCTCTACAAATGGTGGCGTTCCTACCTGGGAATATCAACTTTTTTTAATGGTGGATTTTCCAGCAAGCCACGGAGAGGATAACCGGAAAGGATTACCGGACAGCCTGCAGGGCTTCTGACAGGGCGACCTCCACCAACTTTGAAGTTTCACTTTCATGCTTGGCCTCGAATCACAGATCTTCGACGAAAAGACGTGGAAAACCGCGGAAAACCCTGGGGCAAAACATGGAGCAACGCATGAAAAACTATGGAAAACATGGAGCAAAACATGGAAAACTTCGGGAAGAAAAGGACGGTTCAGGCCACTTTTCATGGTCTGGCGCAGGGCCTCTGAAACATAGAGAATGGTCCCTGAGATGTTTACTTCCAACATCTTCTGTTGTCATCCCCTTGTCAGATAACTCCTTCACGTCCTGCAAGGTCATCATCCAAAAGATAGGGGAACACTGCCAATGTCTAAGACGTCTTCTGCTTCAATGGCAAGACTATGAATAAAAGCTTGTGGAGAAGCAACGGTATTGATTTATCGCTTGTGGTCCGGCGAAAGGGCTAATCCCAGTATGATCATTTTTTGCCAACTACTGTATATAACCAGAATAGTATAGCTTTGGCTCTTTATATAATAACCAGTATGACTTTACTATCCTGGTAATTTCTGGAAAATGTGGAAAAAACATGGATTACCCCATTAATTCCCATTCTAAATGGTACTTGTGAACCCAAAATGATGGGCTATGAACCACATCCCAGGCCCCGATCCGCAAAAAAAACGAGCCCCACGGCCAGATCTTCGCGGAGGATCTTGATTTGATGCTCCCGACGTTCCACCTGCAAGGTGTCTAATCCATGGGGAAACCGCAAGTTCTCATCCATTAGCTTTTTTATCGATGGGAAAAGCAATGATTGGGGTAGCCATGTTGTCGGAAACCTCCAGATATATTTGGAGTAGATAATCCATGAAGGACAAGCACACACTTCTGCAAAAAAAACACAGTAAACAAAATAATCCCTTCCTCCTAATACTAAACGTCCCCCTAATACTAAAAACAGGCATCCATCTCCAATTTCCGAAAATTTCAGTTTGGCCAATTTGACTTTTAATTGATCCCCTTTAAAAAATAATTTAAAAATCAACCTACCATTTGTGGGTTCTCCCCCCTAATACTAAAAACTAGTTCACCCCGGGGTGTTTAGTATTAGGGGGGCCTAGTCCCAATCCCTCACTCCAAGCTGCCTGGCTACTCTAGCAATTAGGGGTAAGCTTCGAACTGCCATTTTTGGCAATATTTTAATTGCGTTATATAAGGAAATTTAATTGATTTTGAGATCGGAAAAAATAGTTTTTAGTATTAAGGGTTTTAATTTAGTATTAGGGGTAAGCTTCGAACTGCCATTTTTGGCAATATTTTAATTGCGTTATATAAGGAAATTTAATTGATTTTGAGATCGGAAAAAATAGTTTTTAGTATTAAGGTTTTTAATTTAGTATTAGGGGTAAGCTTCGAACTGCCATTTGTGGCAATATTTTAATTGCGTTATATAAGGAAATTTAATTGATTTTGAGATCGGAAAAAATGGTTTTTATTATTAAGGGTTTTAATTTAGTATTAGGGGTAAGCTTCGAACTGCCATTTTTGGCAATATTTTGGTTCCCTAATAATAAATACCCCCCTAATACTAAAAACTACTTGCCGTGTTTTGTATTAGGGGGGGGGGGGAGGTTTAGTATTAGGAGGAAGGGATTACCATTTGGTAAACTAGCATAACTATTGAAAATCACCATTTTCAATGGGTAAATCCACTATAAATGGTCATTTTCAATAGCTATGTTAGTTTACCAGAGGGTAAACAGAAACGTGGTTTGAAGCAGGAAAGCCCGATCGATAATCCATGGGCTTGGATCTGGGAGAATTGAAAAACCGGTGACGGCTTAGGCAGTTCTGAACCAACAGAATCTGGCTCCTCTTTCCAAGATTTTGGGGTGATCCCCAAAAAAATCACAAGTTGGTGCCCCCCCATTTATAAGTTGGCTTAAACACACCATTAACTATATATATATATATATTGATATTTATCTACCATAACCATAGGTCACCTAGTTATAAACCAACTGATGTATCTGGGAATCTAGGGGGCACCACTTTGCATGTACCATTCCAGGGTACAATTCGACACCTCAAAATCCCGTTGCGGACCTCCCTTCTCAGGCTGGGGGCATCCTTCGCCTAGCGGAGCTTGTCCAACGATGATCCCTAAATCCGAGACCACATAGGAAACATATGCATGATACCATCCAGTAAATTAACATAGACCCTGGCATTTTCGGGCTTGAGAGATTTGTTTCCACTGGAAACATACGTTATTTTCAGGGTCCAACTGTTCATTTACCAGAGGGTATATGTTGGTTTTCTTGCCCATTTGACAGATGGGTACTTGAAGGGTCTAGGTATACCCCACATGATTGATATTACGCCACAATGTGCTGTTGTTTGCGCATCTCATAACATTGTCGTGAGTCTACCCAAACTTCGATAGTTGACAAATGGTCCAAGGAACATATACAATCAACAAAAATTAGATAAGGGGAGTAGGGATATCACCACAAAAAAAGAGCCATCAGATAGTTCTAGACAATCTTATCAAGCCCCAAAATTGTCTTTTCACCTCAACGTACTACCATAAGTCTTACTGGAATGCATGACCTTGGGGATTGTTGGTTTTGACCCATGACGCTTTCTAGCTGCAAACTGCTACATGAAAAGTCACAACCGTCAACTCCAGTAGTACGATGTACAAAGATTGTGTTCAAATAGGATCACCATCTGGTTGGTGGTTGAGCCACCCCTCTGAAAAATATGAAAGTCAGTTGGGATGATGACATTCCCAATATATGGAAAAATCAAAAATGTTCCAAACCACCAACTAGCAATCAATAATTATTATGGAAAACTGCAAGTGCCCCTGGGAGACAAAGCAGCCACCTCGACTGCCCCACGTAAATAGAAGGGATTTGTCCAAGTGACTGGATAGAATGACTTAAATTACTTCCATAAACAAAAAAACGAAGCTAAAAGTTCATATTCATCACTTTTTAAATATACCTTTAAATATTCATACTCTATACAGAACCCTTGTATTATATATATATATAGTGGCTATATTTATATTATAGTGGCTATATATATATATACACACAGTTGGTTATAGTAATATAGTTAACTAGTATGTTCCATTCTGCTTCTTGCGCTATAGAAGTCCCCACAGTCCTGGCCAGTGTTGTCCGCGCCCAACTTGTCGAGCCTTCAACGAACGCAGCTCTTTTGATGCCTGCATCGTTGAGACTGGCGACACATTCCAAGACCTTATTCCAACCATGCTTCTATATCCACATTGAATGATCATCATACCTCACAAATATGGCACATATATATATATATATGTATTATTTTATACTTAATAATATTATCGGTATTGTCCCATCCGCAAGTGTTGATGCCTGGCACCTTTTTTCAGCCAAGTCAACAACCCAAGATTTGATTTATCCCTTCAGCTTACCCGCTCACAGGCTCGATTTTGATGTAGATGTATTGGCACGTGGAAAGAAGCCACTCTCTCCCTAGTCCAACGAATGACCAGGCAACCACTGGGATTATCCCTTCATAGATCCGTGGGACATAATGGATATGAATCGGAGATTCATGGGATATTCATGGGATCCCTTCATATTAAATGGTTATAGTGTGGTTGTGAAGAAAAACTGCCAGCTGCCCTTTTGCTTACGCTGTAGCTTTCGACCTATCCCCATATCTCCAATAGCAGCCCATAGTTGTTGAGGTCTTCCCTCTGATGATAAAATCTCCACTTTCTTCCAATTCCCTCCTAAATACTTGGCGTTACGAACTTGAATGAGTTGAAGGGTTCTTTTACAAGAGACTTGCATATTTGATGCGATCAACATTTTAGGTTTCTAGCATTTCTCACTGATCACCATGATACCAGGATAATTGCAGTTTTCTGTTTTCTTCTACAATACTCGTGATTCATAACATTTTCAGGACATGTTCATGACATTTTCGGTCACAACATCCCCAGACATGCTACATGCCGCCCCTCATCGTTGCTCTTCCGCTGCCTGATGTTGTTCTTCCGCCTTCAACTGCAGTTGGAGAGCTTTGCCCCGCAGTTCAGCAGTCTGCAGGCTGGCGTTCTCCACCACAGGGAAGGACGTTCAAGTGAAAGCAACATGATATGGTTGTAGTAAACCCCCCAATGGTGAAGAACAAAATGCGTTATCAACTGTTTCAGTCGGATGTTACCAATTTCTGTTTGTTTGGGGTTTATTATAGAACTAAAATCACTTAACTATGATGAATTACGAAGGCTGAACGGCTGAATTCAATATTTATATCATCTAACTCAATTACAAAAGGTCCAAAACATGTGATTTTGCTTTGGATATTTATGGAATTGAAATGGCTACACATGTCGGCTGAATCGCTCTTCCAGTAATCAAACATGGGGGGTCAACCAACCACAATTAGGATTTTCATCAGCCAAAATGGATGTGAAAGTCATAAAAGTATGCTGAATGGTACTGTATATTTCAGAAGTTGGAATAGGATCATCAGCAACCAAAATGGAAATGAAGTGGGGACCAATCCCCAACAACTGCTTGATCGGCGGCTTTTCCTGTGCTGACAAATCGGAATCTCATTGTGGGTTTGTTATGACATTGTTAATTAGCTCGCGCTAGAAACCATAAACATTAAACATGCACATGTATATACTGGTTGGTGGTTGAGCCACCCCTCTGAAAAATATGAGTTCGTCAGTTGGGATGAACATTCCCAATATATGGAAAGTCACAAAAGTCATGTTCCAAACCACCAATCAGACCATCTGCTCGAGCAGACCCTGCTAAGGATTCCATCCAGGTCCTACATGGAGCGATGTTTGGAGAGATCCATCCCGGGAATTCGCTACATCCCAACCAAAAAACCAGTTAAATCATGTTGAATCCCAGATTTTGCTGATGAACTCCCAAAATTCCCACTTAAATCATCTGAAAAGTCCCAGATTTTGGAAGATATTTCATCCCAATCTCTGCTCCCAGCTGTATGTCGCGCCTCTCGTTCACAGGCCTCAATATCTTGGTTGACACGATCCTGCGACCATCATTCAGGCATTTTGCCCACCCGGTACTCAAATATGGCTAGCTGGGAGGATTTCATGGCAAAAAAAACATGTCAAAAATAAATAAAATGGATCATGTTCCACTGACTTGCTTGACTTCCAGAGTGTAATTGTTCATCTGATTGGTGTCAAACCATCCCAGTCCCAATGTCCCAAATCAGGAGCTAAATGGGGGCCTCTTACGGTTCATCTCCTCGGAAATGGGTTAGGTTTACTACACCCTCTGGTAATTTAACCAGCTATAGCTGGTTGGTGGTTGACCAACCCCTCTGAAAAATATGAAAGTCAAATGGGATTAGCGTTCCCAATATATGGAAAAAAAGTTCCAAACCACCAACCAGATTGATAGTTCATGTACCTCTTCAAAACGCTGATTTCTAGTGTAGTTCCCCACCTGCCAGGTGAGGGTTGTTAGATTTTATCTAAGTTGCCTTCTCCTGCCTCCTCTCCTCCTCCTCTCGTCGTCCTCCTCTCGTTGTCCTCGTCGTCCCTCTCGTCGTCCTCCTCTCGTTGTCCTCGTCGTCCTCGTTGTCCTCCTCGTCCTCCTGCTCAACTGCGACTCGCGATCCACAGTGTTCGCTGCCGGACCTCAACCACGACCATCCACGCCCAGTGTTCCCTGCCGGACCTCAACCACGGCCATCCACGGACCTCAACCAGTGTGTCCCTGCCGGACCTCA